ATGAAAAGAACGTTTCAATATGTACAGATGAAAAGAACGTTTCAATATGTACAGATGAAAAGAACGTTTCAATATGTACAGATGAAAAGAACGTTTCAATACATACAGTTCCAATACATACAAACAAAACAACGTCCCAGTACATACAAATGAAAAAGGTGTTCCAAAACATACAAACAAAACAACGTCCCAGTACATACAAATGAAAAAGGTGTTCCAATACATACAAACAAAACAACGTCCCAGTACATACAAACAAAACAACGTCCCAGTACATACAAACAAAACAACGTCCCAGTACATACAAATGAAAAGAATGTTCCAATACGTACAGATGCTGATGTAGGTGGTCGTCCCAGAGAAATGTTGGGCATGGATGGAGAGGTATAGAGTAGCTCAGCACTGGGGTAGGGCAGCCCCGGGGGGAACGGGCTGAAGATGTAGCCAGGGGGCTCCTGTTCAAAAAAAGAAAGAAATGCATACACACTTTTAAAACACAGCAATCTTCTTAATGTCTGGTAAACGTGAATCTAATGATAATTTAACCCTTTGAACCCAAAAGACCGCTAAAAGTATATCTCTCTCAGCACCCGGTATGGCTGGTGAATCAAGCTAAGGAGTATTTCTCACAACCCTGCCAGTCTGTGATAAACCAGCCAAGAGCATATTGCTCCGTCCATATCAATTAAAGAAGTCCATAGTCAGAGACTTGGGATGCATCATGGTCCAGGAGGGTTCAAAGGGTTAAAACATAGTTGGGATTTCTGAAAGCATACCATACAGTACGTCTACAAAAACAACCTGTCATAAATCAAATACACAACAAGAACTTTTAGTTTAGTTTCAGTAAGTGTTTTACGGCACTTGCAACACAATAGGTCATATAAGTACCGAAGATTAGATGTGTTACAAGAGAGTAACAAACACGAAAAAGGAAGAAGAGAGATAAAAACGATAGATGTACGATAAGAAATAAGGAGCAAACCGCACCAGATCACCCACCAACAAGAATGGGTGTGTTTCCTATTTTTATCTGTTTTAGTTTTAGTAAGAGTTTTACGGTACTTGAAACACCTTAGGTCATTTAAGTGCCAAAGACTACAAGCGTTACAAGAGAGAAACAAACGCAAAGAAGGAAGAAGAGAGATAAAAACGACAGATGTAGGATAAGAAAAAAGGAGCAAACCAGACCAGAGCACCCTTCAACCACCCACAAGACTTTTTGTTAGGGTTTCTTATTTTGATCTGTTTACTAGACACACAAGCTAAGTCATTTCGAATGGGTAGCACTTGACCTCTATATCCAGTTTCTTGATCATTGAGATAAAAATAAAAAACAAAAACAAAAAGTCTTGTGGGTGGTTGAAGGGTGCTCTGGTCTGGTTTGCTCCTTTTTTCTTATCCTACATCTGTCGTTTTTATCTCTCTTCTTCCTTCTTTGCGTTTGTTTCTCTCTTGTAACGCTTGTAGTCTTTGGCACTTACAATGACCTAAGGTGTTTCAAGTACCGTAAAACTCTTACTAAAACTAAAACAGATAAAAATAGGAAACACACCCATTCTTGTTGGTGGGTGATCTGGTGCGGTTTGCTCCTTATTTCTTATCGTACATCTATCGTTTTTATCTCTCTTCTTCCTTTTTCGTGTTTGTTACTCTCTTGTAACACATCTAATCTTCGGTACTTATATGACCTATTGTGTTGCAAGTGCCGTAAAACACTTACTGAAACTAAACTAAAAGTTCTTGTTGTGTATTTGATTTATGACAGGTT